CTGATATGGAGTCAGAAGCACCTGAGGTCCCTTCGTGCAGTGTACATTCCAGGAGACCGGAACCTGGCGGCCGACGAGCGGTCACGGGTCCGCCCTATCTCCGGCGAATGGCGACTCCATCCCCAGACGGCCCAGCTGATTTGGGACCAGTTCGGGGAGGCACAGATACTTCTGTTCGCCTCCCGGGACTCATCCCACTGCGCCCAGTTTTATTCCCTGTCCGAGGGTTCACTCGGCACAGATGCACTGGCGCACAGCTATGCGTTTTCCCCAGTGAGCCTTCTTGCACTGGTGTTGTGCAAGATCAAGGAGGACGAGGAGCAGGTCTTGCTGGTAGCCCCCTATTGGCCCACCAAGACGTGGTTCTCCGAACTCATGCTCCTCGCGACAGCACCTCCTTGGCCTATTCCTCTGAGACTAGATCTACTCACTCAGAGACGGGGCACTCTGTGGCATCCTCGTCCCGATCTTGGAGGCTACACGTATGGCTCCGGGACGGGACGGGGCAGGTTTGAGTTCGCTGCCACCTGCGGTGGCGGCAACCATCACTTCCGCTAGAGCGTCGTCCACGAGACACCTGTACGCGTTGAAGTGGAACCTCTTCGTCAACTGGTGCTCTTCTCGCGGAGAAGACCCCCGGAGATGTTCGATGGGGGTCGTGCTTTCCTTCCTGCAAGAAGGGTTGGAGCGTAGGCTGTCGCCCTCCACCCTTAGGGTTCATGTCGCGGCCATTGCCGCCTCTCATGATGCAGTGAAAGGTAAGTCTATGGGAAGCATGACCTGGTCATCAGGTTCCTGAGGGGAGCAAGGAGGCTAAAACCACCTCCCTCCCCTCGTGTCCTCTGGGGACCTCTCAGTAGATCTAAGTGCTCTGCAGAGGCCTTCCCTGGAGCCTTTGCAGTCGGTAGAGTTTTAGCCCTGTCCTATGTAGACAGCACTCCTGATTGCATTGGCCTCCATCAGGAGAGTAAGGGACCTGCACGCACTCTCCGTTGATGAAGCGTGCCTGGAGTTCGGGCCGGCTTACTCTCACGTGTTCTTGAGACCCCAGCCTGAATACGTGCCAAAGGTTCCCACCACTCCCTTCCGGGACCAGGTGGTGAACCTGCAAGCGCTGCCCCTGGAGGAGGCAGTCCCAGCCTTGCACTGCTCTGTCCAGTACGTGCACTCCGCACCTACGACGACAGAACGCGGTGTTCAAGACCTCAGACCAGCTCTTTGTCTGTCATGGGGGGAGCCAGAAGGGAAAGGCTCTCTCAAAGCAAAGGCTGTCTCACTGGATGGTGGACGCCATTGCTTTGTCTTACCAGCAGCAAGGCCGTCCGTGCCCCCTTGGTGTGACGGCCCATTCCACTCGGAGTGTGGCCTCCTCTTGGGCTCTAGCGCACGGCGCCTCGCTAACAGACATTTGCAGAGCTGCAGGCTGGGCGACACCAAACACCTTCGCGAGTTTCTATAATCTGCGAATTGAGCCGGTGTCCTCTCACGTACTCGCTTCCGCCAGTACTGGACCCGCTTAGGTGTCTTCGCTTGCTCGCCATTCCACTCCTCGGATTGGATAAGTGTGATATTTCCTCAGTGTCTTCCGTTGAAGCCTTGAGTCCTCCAGCACCGACAATGCGGGCACCACTGCTGTTGCTCTGGATGCCGGCTAGGTGCCTCCATGTGCTCGGTTCCCTATGGTAACTGTCTCATGTGTATTATCCACTGTAAGCCTCTCTGAGCATGTGTCTTCCCTTGGCAAGCCATCTGCCACCCCTGGAGTTAAATTCTAGTAGCCACCTGCGGTTGGTGCTCCAGTGTTCTCCATATGCGTTCCTATGCGGCCATATGCGTATTTGTAAGTCCTCCTTCGGTAGGCATCTGGTAGCATGTCCCTCCCGGGATATGTTTCCCAGTGTAACCTTGGTAATCCTGTCTCAAAGTGGGACCCCTGTTAAAAAAAAAAAAGGGTTCAGGGGTTCAGACTTCCGCAGGGCACTGGAAGACAGCTTGAAGATGGCGTGATGGCACTGACCCCCATTCTCCGTCACTTCTGACGTAACTCGAAGTGACTACGAAAAGGAACGTCTCGGTTACGGATGTAACCCTCGTTCCCTGAGTAGGGAACGGAGACGTTACGTCTCCCTGCCACTTCAGCTGTATCGCTGGTAGACGTCGGAGTTCAGCCTTGGCTCCTCAGCTAAGACATACTGCGGTTGCGTTCACTTCCTCCTTTTTATACCCCACTGCGTGGGGCGGAGATACGCTATGCAAATTCCGCAGCCCCAAGGCATTTTCATGCCATTGGCTCGTTGTTAAATACTCGAAGAGGATTGGCTTTCTATGCGAAACCCCCATTCTCCGTCACTTCTGACGTAACGTCTCCGTTCCCTACTCAGGGAACGAGGGTTACATCCGTAACTGAGACGTTTTCTTTAAAGAATGTGCCGTCACGAAAAGTTTTAAAATGTCCAGATTCGGATGCAAGAGATTCTTCGGTTAGAACTTTGTCTAGAATCTCATTTCTGTTAAGTAACTCTGTTAAAACACTTAATATAGGGACATATACAAATGTCTTCTTCCTGGTAGTATTATCCAAAATATATTCTACAGGCTCAATGACAGGAAAATTATTTCTGAAAAACAGGGACCTCCTATGGTCAGTGCCAAATGGTCCAGTCTTTGACAGTAAACAAAGTGGATTAGTTTCCTGCAGTGTTTTCTTTACCACAGTTAAAACAGTGCTGTCCGTGTTGCAATTATGTTCCCTTAGCACTTCCTCAATTGACCTATTGGTAAACTCTCCTGCTAAAACACCTATCTCATACAGTTCACTAACTATTTCTTGTGTTGCTGACTTGGACACATGCAAAATGGTTTGCATACGTAGCAATAAGGATGCAAGTCTATGACTAACTGATTCTCCATAATCTTCATCGGCATCGTCATCATTTGGGAGGTTATCATAATCTACTGAAACTACATCTCCTATTTGTTCCTCACTGGATTCTGCTGGACTGTGATCAAAAATAAGTTCAGGTTTTATATTGTTTAAACCAGAATTACAGTGATATCTACATTTGTGCCCAGTAAAGGTGGAATACACGCTAGACTTAAATTGCTTATGGCTCAGAAAAATCACATAATTCACACTGTAGCCGATGAGTAACTACACTGGACTGAGATTCATGTGCATCATTCGGCTGAGATTGATGAACCACTGATGTTTGATGTTTCAACAAATGGATTTTAAGAGCAACTCGAAGTGGCGAAGGCCACTCTTCAATGGAGCGCGCACGTGGAGGAGGGGCGCGCGCACTGCTTTCACTTCACTATAGGCTACTGTAAAAAAAAAAATATATATATATATGGTATAAAGCAGTGGTTCTCAACTCTAGTCCTCGGGACCCACTGCTCTGCATATTGTGTATGTCTCCCTATTTAACACACTGATTCAGATCCTCAGATATAGCTATAGGATGGACTAAGAACGTCTCAGGTTACGACTGTCACTGCATGAAAAGTGGGATTTTCGTCCCCGTAAACTGCCGGAAATCTCCCTAATTTTCGGCAGTTAACGACAATTTACAGACTGTGAACGTCGCGTTCCACTGTGCCACATATTGACGGAAACGAACCATGACGTATGCATGCAGCGCTCGCGGAGGTGCGAATGGCCCTAATTAGCATATGAATAGCAGCACTGCGCGCGCCTTGCCAGAGAATGGCTTGAATTTCCTCACTCAGTATTGGTTGAAATTCACTACATTTAAACAAGAAAATCACTCGTGATTGGTTGGCAGATCTGTTACTATTGGTCAGCCGACATAAAATTATAATAATAATAATCATATATATATATATATATTCATATGATATGCTATTATGTTGTTTATTCATGTCATTGTTATCCTATGGACTAAATTATTATTACCATCAAGGACATGAATTTATTGAGGAAAGGAACATTTGCCACATACTGTTTATTCAAAGAAATAGCTTTATTAGAACAAACACAAAACTATGTACACAGCATAGGAGAACATCTTTCAAAGCACAGAAAACATGTCCTCCACCCTCTGGAAACATGGGACAACATACATACATACAGCACTACAGTTATACAAATAAATCAATAATATATTGCATCTCTATTCAAAAATAAATTGCCCTGAATGGCATCAGAATTGGGCACCAGATATATCAAACACAATGTACAGTGGAGCCAGAATTATGAACGAATAATAAGGATGTAATTTAAAGGTATGGTTCACTTTGAAATAATTTTTTGATATGTTTTATCTTATCTCAAGGGCATCCAAGATGCAGGTGGTTTTGTTTCCACAGTATTTTCAATTTTGATATTTTTAGGTCAAACTGTTGTTGTCTGTCAGTCATATAATGCAGGTCTATGGTCACCACCTCAAAGAGCATGCACAAAGAAGACCAAATTAAACATGATTTAATGACTCATAAATTAAGTACACAATGATTGACTAAGACACGAAATGAGCGTTTTGGGAAAGAAAACAAACAGTATTTATATTGTATAAATGTGTGTGTGTGTGTGTGTGTGTGTATATATATATATATAGATATATATATAGATATATATATATAGATATACACAAAATGCAATACATCTTAATATGTTTAGATCTTCACAGTAAAACTTCCGAAATCTGTGTAAACAATGAGTGACGTACCAGTGCAAGATCGCTTCTGGCGGTTTCCACCGCATGCGCAGATCATATATATATATACACACACACACACTGTTCATTTTCTCACACAAACCGCTCGTCTCGTATCTTAAGCCATCAAGGTGTACTTACAGTTATGATTCATTAAATCATGTTTAATTTGTACTTCTCTGTGCATGCTCTTTTAAGAGATCCCCATAGACTTCCATTATATGACTGACTGATGCCCTTGACGTAAGCCAAAACATTTCAAAAAATAATTTCAAAGTGAACTATCCCTTTAAAACTCTTAATTGAGGTTTCAATTGAGGCTTGAGGTTCACCTTGATGTACATACACCTCAGTGGCTGTGGAACCGAATTTCATGACCCCTTCTGCAAAGTTGAAAAAGACAAATGATTTAGATGTATGCAAAGGCAATCTGCCCCAAGTCCCCACATTTGTAAGCAAAAATATGTTTCTTCTGCATCCACTACCTGGTTTCCTTCAGGCGATGGCGGATGTCGACCAGTAGTTTCAGGACCTTTTTCTGGAACACTGAAATAAACGAACACATTTGGTGATGTTTACAATGCTCTAATTAGAATAACAAAGTTTGCTAGCTCACAAGAGAGAAGGTGTCTATTAAAAGTGTCTTCTCCACTGCCAATAGATCAACACTTACCACCAGGTTTCAGTCACTGCATCTCCCAGTCTCAGTCACTGCATCTATACCACAAAAAAATGTGTTTTAAAAGTTATTATCAAATGATGAAACTGAACAGATTTATAAGATATTTAAAAACTTGGTCAAACATTTATAACTGAATATAACATGCCATGTTCCAGTTCTCTTTGGCGTTTTCACCACTGTCTCACGCTCAAAGTCATCTATAAACACAGACGTTAATCCAAATTAGTTTAGTTTTACTTTTTATTTGACTGGGGTCTGTTCAAAAGAAAAGAGGATGAGATCACAACACGTAACGTTACCTTATTTAGGTGTTTTTTCTCCCATCAGCGAAGGACACCTCACTCCTAACAGCCCCTGAGAGACAAAACAAATCACAAACATCTGAAGATTTCACTCATCACACAAAGTGATGCAATTTTACAAACAAGGATAGCCTACACTAGAGCATACAAGCACATTACGCGCTTTGTTTTAGGACCCTGGCACTTAATATTTTTTCATAATTTCTGACGATATTCAGAGTAAATGAGTTAGTTTGATTACTATCAAAGAATGGTAGCTAACTTGCAGCCAGATAACAACGTGCAACCCAACGTACAGTTTAGTGTCCCAAATTTGTTCAAATTGAAATGAAACAAAAAAAGAATTAAGAGCAGCAAGCTAACGCAAAACAAAAAAACTGTTCCGTTAGGTTAACACCCTTGGACATTCGCGGCAGTAATCACAGCCGATTTGTGAAGTTTAAGACAAAAACGCTAAACTACCAAAAACTATAAGTAGACATGGACATAGAATTCACTAAGCTGGACGAACTTACCTTCAATTTAGAGGAAAAGATGGGTTCCCCAGCGATCATGACGGCGAAGCAGGCTGAATATCTGTGTAGTTACTTTCTGCTTAAAAAAACACGCCACATGCCTGGCACGTTGCCTCAGCCAATCAGAGTGGCTGACGTTACAGGTTGGATTATGACGATATGCTGCCTCAGCCAATCAGAGTTACGTTCACTGGTTTTTGACTCAGGTTGAAAGGCTGTCGTCGTCGGCTGTCCTTTGACTTTTCTGCTGCTGTTAGTTCATTTTAAATTAGGAATAAGGTGGATATACCTAAATAGGCTACCATGAAATGTAAAAATACATATATGCATAAATAAATAACTTTATTAGGTTACTTAAATTAAATAAACCAGTCAAAAAAATTGTAAAAAACAAAAACAAAAAACATCTGTTTATAACTGTGAATTAACATCAAAGATGTTATCATATATTTTGAAAACTGCTTCCGTAAATGTTATGATGAATCTTATAATTTTATTAGGAAAATTTCATATTTATAAGAGTAAAATGAATAATTCTAAACCTTGTTTGAAGTTTTTTTTTTTTTTTGGTCTAATTTTTAGTTTTCAGTATATTCTGTCTCTCAAATGTATCGATAAAAATGTAGTGATACAATTGTATTTGCTAAAGAATATTGAAGCTAATTAAAGCTAATTTTCTTTCTTTAAATAGTACAAATTACTGGTTTCTGACTTTCTCTTAAATCATAATATTATACACAATAGAGATAGTCCCTTTCCTGTTTTTATTTCATTTGTTCAATTCTGTCCTATTTTCATTTGTTTCTTATTTATTGTGAAATTATTATTTGTTGATTGTTATCTTTTTGGATGTCATGTTATTGTTGTAATTGTTGTGCATTATGTGCAATGTTAAAAAAACAAAAAACAAAAAAAACACAGCAATTAGGTTATACTGAGCCTGATCTTGTCTTAGAATGAAGTTATACCTTTCAGAAAAATGTTACCTGGGGTGAAACTCCCCTACCCTTATTTGCATGTGTATAGCTCACAGCATTTTCATTTACATGTCAAAGCCTCCTCTAGATTTAGGAGAAGGGGGGACAATGGGGGGACAACTGCCAAGCAAGGCCCACGTCAATTTCCGGCAATTCACAGCAGTTTTGAGTGTTACCTGTAAATTGCCGTGTGCAGTCGTAAACCTGAACTTCCACGACAATCTACAGTGCCGCTTACTGACGAAAATCCCACTTTTCATGCAGTGCCACAGTCATAGCGCCACCTGCTGGCAACAGGAAGTGACCTTTAACAAAGCAGCGTAGCAAATGCACAGCCGCACTGGCTGAGCTGCAGAAAATGCAACGCGGCCGCCTCAGACCCCGACGCGCTACAGGTGCGAGGGCCCGCCCATCGCTGCTTGCAGCTTTAATTTTTTTTCTTTTTTCTGCAAAGTAAGCGTCATTTTCGGGGCCGCAACATGCTCAAAAAGTCACCAAATTTGGCACGCATGTCAGGACTGGTGAAAAATTTCATATTTTGGGGGTTTCGCGGATGGGCGGGGCAAAATGGCTCGCTAGCGCCACCTAGAAAATTGGAAAAAATTAGCCCCTCGTCCACGTTCAACCTACATGCACGAAATTTGGTGGGGACGTGTATCATATCAAGACGCACAAAAAAGCCTCAAGAACCCATACCCTAAACTCGACAGGAAGTCCGCCATTTTGAATTTGGCGGCCATTTTTGGACGATTTACACACTCCGTACTTTAACGAACTCCTCCTAGGGATTTAGTCAGATCGACTTTAAATTTCTGCTGTGCCTTCTAAAGGCATTGACGATGTAAAGTTGTGCTATCTGCGCGTTTTCGTCGATGGGCGTGTCCGTGATTCGCCATGAAAAAGGAAGTTGTAGTAACTTGGCTGTAATTGCTCAGATCTGCACGAAATTTTACACATTTGACAAGAGTCCCGCCCTGAACAAATCTACATGCCGATATTCACCCACAGTCATAGAGCCATCTGCTGGCAACAGGAAGTGACCTTTAATGAAGCAGCCCCCGCCGCTTGTTTGAACGAAATGTACGAAATTTCTGTTGTGCATCTACCATGACTAGATGAACAAAAAAGCCTCAAGAACCCATACCCTAAACTCGACAGGAAGTCCGCCGTTTTGAATTTGTCGACCGATTTGGGAAGATTTACACACTCCGTACTTTAACAAACTCCTCCTAGGGATTTAGTCGGATCAACTTCAAATTTCTGCTGTACCTTCTAAAGGCATTGACGATGTAAAGTTGTGCTATATGCGCGTTTTCGTTGATGGGTGTGTCCATGGCATCGATGATTCGCCATGAAACAGGAAGTTGTAGTAACTTGCCTGTAAATGCCCAGATCTGCACGAAATTTGACACATTTGACAAGAGTCCCGCCCTGAACAAATCTACATGCCGACATTCACCCACAGTCATAGCGCCACCTGCTGGCAACAGGAAGTGGCCTTTAACGAAGCAGCCCCCGCCGCTTGTTTGACCGACATGTACGAAATTTCTGTGGTACATCTACCATGACCAGACGCACAAAAAAGCCTCAAGAACCCATACCCTAAACTCGACAGGAAGTCCGCCATTTTGAATTTGGTGACCGATTTGGGACGATTTACACACTCCGTACTTTAACGAACTCCTCCTAGGGCTTTAGTCGGATCGACATCACATTTCTGCTGTGCCTTCTAAAGGCATTGACGATGAAAAGTTGTGCAATCTGCTTGTTTTCCTCAATGGGCGTGTCCGTGGCGTCGATGATTCGCCATGAAACAGGAAGTTGTTGTAACTTGGCTGTAAATGCCCAGATCTGCACGAAATTTTACGTATTTGACAAGAGTCCCGTCCTGAACAAATCTACATGCCGACATTCACCCACAGTCATAGCGCCACCTGCTGGCAACAGGAAGTGACCTTTAACGAAGCAGCCCCCGCCGCATGTTTGACCGACATGTACGAAATTTTTGTGGTACAACTAACATATCCAGACGCACAGAAAATCTCTTGGAGCGATGCCCTAAACTCAACAGGAAATCGGCCATTTCTAATTTTACCGCCATTTTTGGATGATTTACTCATTACGTACTTTAACAAACTCCTCCTAGGGATTTAGTCGGATCGACTTCAAATTTCTGCTGTGCCTTCTAAAGGCATTGACGATGTAAAGTTGTGCTATCTGCGCGTTTTCGTCGATGGGTGTGTCCGTGGCATCAATGATTCGCCATGAAACAGGAAGTTGCAGTAACTTGGCTGTAAATGCCCAGATCTGCACGAAATTTTACACATTTGACAAGAGTCCCGCCCTGAACAAATCTCCATGCCGACATTCACCCACAGTCATAGCGCCACCTGCTGGCAACAGGAAGTGACCTTTAACGAAGCAGCATAGCAAATGCACAGGCTGAGCTGCAGAAAATGCAACGCGGCCGCCTCAGACCCCGACGCGCTACAGGTGCGAGGGCCCGCCCATCGCTGCTTGCAGCTTTAATTTTTCTTTTTTCTGCAAAGTAAGCGTCATTTTTGGGGCCGCAACATGCTCAAAAAGTCACCAAATTTGGCACGCATGTCAGGACTGGTGAAAAATTTCATATTTTGGGGGTTTCGCGGATGGGCGGGGCAAAATGGCTCGCTAGCGCCACCTAGAAAATTGGAAAAAATTAGCCCCTCGTCCACGTTCAACCTACATGCACTAAATTTGGTGGGGATGTGTATCATTTCAAGACGCACAAAAAAGCCTCAAGAACCCTTACCCTAAACACGACAGGAAGTCCGCCATTTTGAATTTGGCGACCAATTTGGGACGATTTACACACTCCGTACTTTAACGAACTCCTCCTAGGGATTTAGTCGGATCAACTTCAAATTTCTGCTGTACCTTCTAAAGGCATTGACGATGTAAAGTTGTGCTATCTGCGTGTTTTCGTCAATGGGCGTGTCCGTGGCGTCGATGATTCGCCATGAAACAGGAAGTTGTAGTAACTTGGCTGTAAATGCCCAGATCTGCACGAAATTTAACAAATTTGACAAGAGTCCCGCCCTGAACAAATCTACATGCCGACATTCACCCTCAGTCATAGCGCCACCTAGGGGCAACAGGAAGTGACCTTTAACGAAGCAGCCCCCGCCGCACCTTTGTCCGACATGTAAGAAATTTCTGTGGTACATCTACCATGTCCACACGCACAGAAAAGTCTCTTGGAGCGATG